GCCTTCTACACCAGACACTTTCTTGGCAGCCATCAGCAGCATTACTTGGCCTATGCATCCATCCAGAGTCAGACCACCAGAAAAAAAAAATCCTGCAATTGGCTTAAAAAGTCAGGAGATGCTCTGAACCAGGGAATGCGGCAGTGTTCTCTGTTCTCCTTCTGGAAGAAGTGCTTTCACAGCCTTTGTCGGACTCTCTGAGAGCTCCTAAAAGGCAGTTCTGGAGATGCTTGAATCCATATATGTAATGTTGCCATTCCCCTGGAGGCTTAGGGAAATACAGTCCTCTCCCTGAGGCATTGCCCCCAGGACCTTTGTCCTCCTGCAGGTCAGGCATCCTTTGCTCTGTGCCTCTGCCATCCGGGCACTGCGCTGCCATGCCATGCCCCTGCTGTCACCCTGCCCTGGTGAGGACAAGGGCACACAGGGCTCTGCTTGCCCTCTCCTTGGCGTCTCCCTGCTGGCTGTGGTGGGAGGCGGCAGGAATGCAAACCCCAGAGCTGGCCGATGTTCCTCGTGTCAAGAGCACACGGGTCAGCGTGACCCTGCTGAGGGCTGCGGCTGCATGGGGAGGGCAGAGCAGCTCCCGGTGCCTCTCCCAGCCTTGACCACAGCTGTGGTACTGGTGCAGGGCAGTGGGATGCCAGCATTCCCACTTTGGATGAGGGCTCCAGATGAAGCCTGGTGTTCTGGTTAGTCTGTCTCAGAGGGAGCTGCAAAAACTTGTGTTACACAAACTGGAGAAACTAACCGAAATTTAAAGGACTTTCATAATAAGCAGTTAATTTGCTCATGACCAGGCCCTGTCACATCTCAAGGCTGGGAATCCTTCACATCTGGTTTGTAGTCCCACGCATTGTCTGCAACTGCTTTAAGTACTCTACGGGCAGTTTTAGACCTGTGAAAAGCTGGTGTTCTGGTGGCTCCTGGTCCTGTTTCCGTTCCTTGACTGGGTAAGATATCGGGTCAGTCACAGGACAGTTCAGTGGCCGGATTCTGAACCCTTTGAGCAATGCAGAGACATGACACGTGCAGGCACCAGCCTGTCGGTAGCATGGCTCACCACCATCCTTCACTCAAGAGAAAGGACCAGTGGGGAGGGGAGACTGCCTGCGGCCAGAGGAGGAGGAGGTGAATGCTGCCAATGTGGAGCATGGGTGGCTGCAGGCGGGTGTCCTGCAGGGGGTCCCCACTGTTGGCACGCTTTGGGCTATGGTCCATTCACATCTGAACAAGCAGGACATGCAGAGCATTTCCTTTCCCCTCGCTTGTGCTGGCGCAGCTTGAGGGTCAGTGTAACCCCAAGGCTGATAGAGCCAGAAGGCTGCAGGGAACCGGTTGCCAGTGCAGCTGTATCAGTGTGAGCAGTGCTCCTGGGGCCCTGGGGGGGTAAAACCACTGTCGAAATGTGTGTTTAAAGCAAGTCATTATTGGGTTAGGAAATGGAGCAATTTTTTTGTTTTAAAGTATTCCCACTGGCTGTTCTAAGGACAAAGGCAAACAAACTGCTTTAAAGCACGGAACCGTTTTAGGTCTGCTGGAGATCTTTTCAGCCAAGAAAAACCCCAAAACAAAGTAAGATTGATTCAGTTTCTGCCATTCCAGCCCCCCTCACAGAAGACAGCCCCAGTCCAGCCTCCTGCATCCCAAGTGCTGCCCAGGCTCCGAGCAGCCCCACTTGCTCGGCTGATGGAGTTGGTCAGAAAAAGGTTCCAGCTGCATCCTTATCACAAAGGTCCAGTAAAGGCACCTGGCAGCCTGCCTGGGACAGAGGCTATTTGCCAACCAGGCCAGCAGGGTTAGAGCCCAGAGCAGAGACCCACAGAAAAATGTACCTGGCAGCGTGCAGCAGAGCTCTGCAGCCCTCTCGGGCCCCCCAGCAAGTCCTCCTTCCTCCTGCGGGGTGTTGCTTCTAAGCTGAACGGTTATTATGGACATCATGCAGGTTTGTGTCCACTGCCAAGGACAGAGCACTTGGCCTGAGCATTTCTCCCTTCCCTCTGAGCTGCACTGAGGCCCCTGAGCTCCTGTCTCTGCTGGAATGGAAGGCCTGGAGAGGGTCTCCCCCAGGTCAGGACTGCGGGCTTCGCCCGGCAGGAGCTGTGCATCCCGCACCCCTTTGGGCTGCCCCTGGCTCTGCTGCACAGTGGGGTTGGCAGCTTGGGCTCTGCTCTTCTGCAGTCACAGCGGCAATGGAGACACTTGACAGCCTGGTTGTGCCCAGAACATGGTCCCTGGCCCCTGCTTGGGTGGCACCAAGCGTCCTGTCCTCAGCTTGTGGTGATGTTGTGGGGCAGAGATGGGGCAGCCCTGCCAGCACCAGCAACAGAGAGCTCATGTGTTGGACCAGCAGCTCCCGAATGTCCTAGGTGACACTGGTGGCCAAGTAAAAGCTTGATGGGGGACAGTGGGGTGAACATGGTGACAGGTATCTGAGACAGCACCACAGCCCATGAACAGCCATGGGTTTCTCCATGTCAGTTAAGGGTGAATGTTGAGAACAGACATTCATAGGTAACTGGCTCAGATAGAGGCATGGGACCAGATTCTCTGCAGATGACTAAACAGGATGCTTCTCCACGTGAGCAAGGCTTTTTGTACCACTCGGTACACTCTGCTTTCAGGCTGCAGGGTACTGGTACGTGTACCGCTGCTGCGCAATTACACACTAGACATTGCCAGCTATTTGTGGACTAATGAGGTACTATTTTTTTTCCCAAGCTCTTTGGTTTGTCTCACAGTGAACAGAATCTTGACCCTGTGCAGCATTCACATCTGTGCCTTGAATTAAAAAGCAGGCAGTCTTTTTTTATTACTTGGGAGAACATAGGTTAATTTTATGAAGTTCCAGCACAATGGATTTACAACTGCTCATAAAGATAGTGAAAATAACAACAAGAGGAGGAGGACACTGGCCTTTATTAGCTGCTTGCTTTGAGAAATACAATAATCAAACGAAATTCAATTTAAAAGACCCAAAGAGGCACATATGAAAGGATTAATCAATTGATATGTAAATGAATTAACAGTTCAGATATGTGATTAATAGCAAAATCTGACTGTGAAAACCAACCTATGAATGCCCCAACATGCAGCCTCACCCACTGAAAAATAACCTGCTTTTTCCTGGCGTCTTCAACAGCTAGTATTTGTCACACTGGGTAACGGTTTTCATGCACATTAACTGAAACAAAAGCCAAAAACCACACATTGAGCAGCGTTCCAAGAAACAAGATTCTGCCTTTATTGTACTTAGAACAACAACAGATTTTAAGATTACAAAAAGAGCGGAACACCAAGCGTGCAGGTCTGCTCTGTGGTACAGCACAGGGTGAGGGCTCACGTGGGACCCAAGCATGGAGTAAACCAGTCAAAAAGTGAATGTTTTCATCTCCCCTAGCGTAACTGGTGTTGTTTTTATCCCGGATGCCAGGCAGGTTTCCCTCTGGCTATGAGAATAAACGTCCCTCAGTCCCATATGGTGACTTCTGAGTCACGGTCATCTCCTGGGCATCCTCCAACACACCTCGCTGGCCAAGGCAGCGATACCACTGCTCTCCACTCTTGCCAACGTAACGTTGTAAGTCTCCATTTGCCTTATTCAAAGCATTCAGTTCCAATTTAAAAAACAAAACAAAACAGAGGCAACAGTCCAACTACTGTCCTTCTCTAGAAGCAGAATTTGGCCTCAGACGCCACTGATTTGGGCAAAATCCTGCCATTTCTGAAAGGTGACTGAAAAAACGCTGCAACCGTAATATGGCTGCAGCTGCAATAAAGTGATATGTGTATGCTTTGGCCTCACTGCATTACTTGCAGAGGCTAAAGGTTCGCAATGCAGCAATGTCCCACCAGGGCATAGACTTCTGTGTCACACACAGGAGGAAGCTGAAAGCTCAGCCCTCGCCTTGGAACCATGCCTGGGGAAATAACCCTTATTGTAGCTGAAGAGTCTTTCTGCCCATTCTGTAGGCTACTTGAGCTTTTTCTTTTGGTAATCCTGCAGTGTTTGCTCCATGACTCTACTCAGCTATGGTGAAACAAGCAATTGCAGAGACATTATGCTTTGTTACATTCATGAATATAGCTGTGGGCTGGGAGTCCTCCCCAGGCAAAAAGGCACCAGCAATGAGCTTTTTTGGCTTATTACAAAGAAAATAAAATATATCAATATAGAGAACTCTTTTCATTACAGACGTGTTAACAAATAAAACCAGCACAAAATTGCCACAGAACACAAAATATCCAGCACAGAGAGCAGCTCACTATAGATTTGCCGTGGTTTTATGTGTGGTGCAGATGTTTACTTTCTGAATCACAAATGCAGGTTCCCCTGCCGTTTCTAAAGGGAATGAGCATAAGCCCCTCCGTGTTGCATGGGAGTAGGTGGGTGCAGAGCAGCTCCAGCTCCATGCTGCCACACCACAACCTGCCCCGGATCCCAGCAGGCAGCACTGGTGACCTCTGCCTGTCCCTCAGACACACGGGCATCTTGCCCAACAGCCATTCTCCAGGAACTCCGTGTCATTTGATGCTGGGCACTGGGTCATGACAGTGCTGAGCACAACCTGGCCCGTCCTTACGGCACGTGAAAGGCTTTCTGTGCCTCCAGAAGTCTACTTTGAAAGAGTGAGAAAACAGCTACCACGCCGTAATTCCAGGATTCTGCCCAAAAGTGCAAAGACCCTGTGCAGTCAAAGAGGGCAGAAATAAAGGACACTGTTGTCCCTCAAGTGCAAACACTACGCCTGTCTCAGCTACAAGAAAGCTGGAGAAGCAGATACCGACACCAGACTACGCCAGTGTATGCCCCATTCCTGCCATGAACAGATGGACCTTTGAAAACTGGGCAATACCTAACCAGAAAAAAACATTAAATTGAATGTTTCCATTATTACTGGCATACACTGACTCGTCTCCTGAAGAGTGGTTAGTTGCAGTGTGCAATAAGAAAAGAAACTCCCTTAGAGCATTATATTAAATAGATCTCTTTAGCAATATAAAGTGGGGCATGCTTTTATTTTAGTATATATGTACATTTAACATACGGCATTGAAACATCTAGGGAGAGAGCTCAGCAAGCGGAGCAGCAGCTGATGGAACAGGTTGCTGCAGGGACCTGTGCTGGTGGTGACGTGGCAGGGGAGGGCAGTGAGCCCAGCTGATGGGAGGCAGTGGTCACCTCAGGTACCACCTCAGCATCCCTGCAGACACTGGCAACGACCCCAACAGAGCAACAAAAGGAGCACGGGGTGGTGAAGGTGGCGAGCATCCTGCCTCCCCTCCGCAGGGCCGACTCACTTGGTATCTACCTCGGTGACTCTGAGGTGGGATTTGGAAGCAGCGAGGCCAAAGGGGTCCCCCCTCCAGGGGTTCTGCCATCCCAAGGGAAGCCTCAGGGACAGCACTGACATGATTGTGAGGATGGTAAAATTTTCATTGCTTTATTAAAGCAAAAGTAGACAAGAAAATGCAGAAGAGAACATAAAGTACAGATAGATGGCAGGATCTGGACTTTGGTATTTCTTAAGCCTCATTTTGACGCAGTTCCTGCAGCAGTCCATGAAAACAAACAAGGGAAGTGTTAACTCCCCCTGCAAACACGCACAGTTGCTCCCGATCCCAGTTCCTGAACCCTCCAGTCACCACTCTAACGATGTCATAAGAAGTCAACTTCAGAATGTAAAAGCTGCAGAAGATTGCTTTGATGCTGAAGAGACAGAGAACGTAAGGCCGGTGCCCACCCAAGAACAGTGGAGCCCTGGGGTGCTCACTGGTGACAGCCTGGCTGGCTCCTGCCCACTGGCCGGGGGCACCTCACCCAAGCTCCTGCCCCATCACACATCAAACCTGACCACTCACGAGCTGCACGCATCCAGCACATGATGCACAGGCAGCATCCCCTTCTAAACTGCTATTCATTTGCATTGTGCTTCCACTAGCACACAGTGTATGCAAATCCCTATTAAACTTGATTTCTTTCCGATCTCCCAGCAGAAAAGTACCTAGCAGGATACCTCCACTCATTAACTAATGAAAACTTCACTGACAAGAGCTTGTGCAAAATACAGAGCTCTCCAAAGGAGCTCTTCAGATTGCTCCTAAACATCCTAACCATTGATGAGAGAGTACCCAGCCAGCTGTTCACTGTGCCCTTCTGCTTTCTGCAGAAAATGCTCAGGAAGAGAGAAGTGCACCAGCAGGATTTTTTACCAGTTCATTTGCAAATATTAGTAGATCATATTAACATTTAAAATGCTTGCAGCCCTCTAAAATAGAAGCTTACTCAGAACACCGCCCTCCTGGCTGGCATTCAGGAAGGTTATCTAAGGATTCTGTTGCCATCCACACGAAGCGGTTTCAAGTGGAAGCCATATCTAGCAGGGGAGGAAAACCCATCACAAACAACTGCAAAGATAGCTCCTCCCCTTCAATAGTTTTAAGGGCTTTACTCCTACCCCTTCCCTTAATGAAAATCCCACAGCTGACTGAAAAGTATCTCAGTAAAATAAGTTTGCTTTACTGAGAGTTTACAAAGAACCCAGAAGTACCGTGAGGGCGTCTGCCTGAAGAGATGATGGTGATGCTCAGCTCCTCAATGGTCCAAGCAGCGCAGGCATTAGTGCTGTTTACTGCACAACACGTGTGTGGCAATCAACTGTCTGCAACCTCATTCCCTTTGCTTTTAAAGACACCCGACAAAGACAAGCAGCTGGTATTACACAGGGGGGACGTGTCTGATCAGTTCTGGTGTGCTCATGCTGTGCAGGAAGAGGGAACTGAAATACAATGGGGAATGCAGGCTTGGCCACTGTGTGGGAGACTGAGCCCACCAAATAAATCAGAACACGGGCATCGAATGGGCCTGTGCTCCCTTCTGAACCTGAGGTATGGAACAGTCAAGCCTGACAAACCAAGCCTTGCATTTCTCAAGGTACTCCTGACGGCTGAGGACCACCAGCAGCTGCAGACCATTCAGCCTTTGCTCTTTGCTGGCTGTGGACCAACCACCGGTTAAGCCAGGGTGCATTTATCCATCCTCACTGTGGAGCTGCAGCCTGTGCTGCATCCGCCTGTGGCCTGGGCTCTGCCACTGCCACGCTGGGCTGTTGTGGACTGGTGAAGCACACGGGACGGTGTGCTTGGGATGGCGTCCCCCAGGCTGCAATCAACCACTGCAGTCAGCAGGGGCCATGTGCACTGCTTAGAAGGGCAGAAGGTCTCTTCAGCGTTTCTTTTATAAGTCCCTGCAGTGCCATAGCAGCAACAGGCAGTCGTCACAGCCACCTCCTGAAGGACGGGATTGACAGCAGGAATCCTGTAGCCTCACAGGTCCTGCAGATCCCAGCCCCGCTGCTTTGCTCCTGGCGTGCTGGTCTGCTGGCATCAGAAAGAATGGTTGGGACAAATGGGAAATAAGTGATGTAGATGGAAACCCAGGGCCTGGGGACACCCAGCGGGAGCAGAGCTGGTGAGGGGCTGGGTAGGGGCCCCGGCTGCCCATGGGTGGAGGGGGAAGCATAAGGTCTGAGAACGTCAGGCACTTGCGGAAGCGAGTACGGCTGTGTTGGAGGAGCAGCAGCTATCGAGGATGGGAATGTGACTGCTGAGTGCGTGGGAGTCTGCGGGGCAGACCAAGACCCAGCTTGGCTGGACATAGCAAAACCATCCCAGGTGGTAAACAGTAGCCATTTGTCACCTTTGGGACTTCGGGAAGGTCACCTTCCTCTCCAACCCTTTTGCTGACACCCTGTAACGCTCCATCAGCTAATACTGATGCTGCATAGGCAGGCATGCAGTCCAGAGCAGACCCCTCAGCAGCTGCATGGTGGCTCTGTGTCAGCAGCAGGCCCTGCCAAGTCACCAGGCTGCAAGTTCATCTCATCCCCCAGCTCTTCTCTGTTTCTCTACTGCAATATTTCAACTCATCTGCTTCCCAGCACCATTAATGCAATTTAAAAGTCCTGAAGAAGGCCAGTAAAGCAACCCACACCCACACTTACAGGCTCAACCTGCTTCTTGTCTTGTCCTGTTTCTTCTTTAAAACAAACACCGAACCCAACGACCGCTGGCATTTCTCCTGCTCGCTCGTGGCCCTGGGCCACTGCAAGTCACTGTGGAAAACACACAACTGAGAGAGCACAGGCACGGTGCCGCTGCCACCGTGTCACAGTCCCCTGTCCCAGCACGGCGAGCCAGCCAGATCTAGGCAGAAGCTGAGGCAGGTAGCTCAGTTCAAGAGGTACCTCACGAAAAACAGAAATCTCGGGAATCCCAGCAGGTAGCTGTTTGTCACTGTCCATCCTCCCGGCACACCGCCTGTAGAGGGGATTCCCCAAGGCACTGCAGTACAGTAGTGCAGAAAAAACTGGCAGGAGATTGCTGAAATGGGGGTGGCAGAACTGGGAGGTCCTTCCGGAAGATCACTGTGCGTGGAAGTAGATAGGCTTGACTTTTCCAGACAGGATCTTGGGAACCTGCACAGAGATGATCTCAGCCATCATTTCAGGGTAGTCCACGCTCACCATATGTGCCTTAATTAAAAGGTCAAATGTAAACTGATGCAGATCCTTGGCAATCTGGGAGAGAAAGAAAGCTCGTTACACAAGAAGTCCCCGGGCAGTGATTTCTTTGGGAAGACAGGGAGCAGGCGTTAGCTGACACAGCTGGCCGCGGCTGGACCTTGCCGCAGTGGGACGTGCTCTGCTCTCTGGCCATCGCTGCCTTGCTAGCAGCTGTCAGATGGCACGTACACGTCTCGAGGATAAGCGAGGGAACGACCCACCCTGGGGGCATGGAGCATAACTTGCCATGGTCCTGCACACTCAGACATTGCCCAGTACCACAAAAATGGGGATGAATAGAAATGGCACTTTTTTACTCCTACAGAAACTCGTCTTACCGTGCAGATGATGCTGACTTCAGTTATTAAGGATTACTTTTCACTTATAAACCGGTAACTGTATGTGCATGGAGCTCTCCCCCAGGGAAAAAGAAAGGTCTAGCTCAAGTGTCACCAGTACAACTTTAAGTCACAAATAGAGAATTTGATTTCACTGCTGCAATCACAGAAGTTTCACTGGGGGCACTGAGAGTTTGAGCTGTTCTGATAGGCTGACAATACAAAAGTACCATCTACAAAGAGCTTTTCATTGCTAAAAATGGAAGCCCATAAACCCAAGCACTAGAGTGGTTACTGCAGGGAGTGACACAGGTAGCTCACTCCCTCAGTAGACTTGGTGACTGTCTTTCCTCTGTTGCTTAATCTAGGAGCACACTGCAATACTGTCCATGAAAAGGTGTATGAGAGTTAAAAAACAAACCACAAAATCGTTGAACAGCCGAGGTTGGAAGGGACCTTGAAAGATCACCCAGTCCAACCTTCCCTGGGAAAGGGAACCTGGAGGACACTATTGAACACCCTGTCCAGTGTTTAACATCCTGAAAACCTCCAGTGATGGGGACCACCACAATCCTGGGAGGTTGCACCAGTGAATGATCATTCTCACTGTAAAAAGTTTCTTTCTTATGTAATTTCTTATGTGTATACATAGACATTTCACTGTCCTCTTACAGGATGCACGGAGTCCAGGACCTTGGTGAGCTGGTAAAATCGCCGAGAGCAGGAGGTAGGGTTCTTCCTCTTGCAAGCAATGATACGGTCAAGTTCCTTAATGTAATTCATTCGAAGTTCATCAAAGAGCTTCTGGTTCTTCAGGCCATCCACTGGAACTGGATGGAACATGGGAGGGAAACAGTGAGAGCTGCACAGAGAGTGGAGAAACAGAAGAGCCAGAGGAAGGCTGGGGAAGAGGTCAGTGCAGACCTGAGAGGAAAGATCTGCTCACCAGCTCTGCTTCTGCAATAGCCCTCACTCTGATCAGCTCGTTGGATGGCTGCTAAGCCAAGTTCTGTGCTTGTTAAAAATAAGAAGCAATATGACAAACTGAAGCACTAGTTTCCTGCTCTGCAGCTGATGCTCGGAGACCCTGTGAAGACAGGAGCTGAGCTGAGGAGCAACCTCCTGCAGGAACTGCATGTGGAAATGCTGCGCTGTGCAGGGGTGGAATGGGCTAGCTGCAGGGGCTGGGTGAGGGCACCTGAATGCTTGACAGCTCCTTATGTCTGAGCAGCTCAGACTGAAGCAGAGGGGAGAACATCCACAGCCCTTCCTTGGAAAGTACGAGTACACGCACAGGGAAAGCATCAGATACATCTATGGCAACTGGAGTTCTGCTGAGGAAAGGATGTGAGAACTTACTAATACTGAAGAAGAGTAGAGCCTTCATGCAGAGGAACTCCTGCAGTGTGATCTGAAGCCACCCGAACTCCTGAGAGAGGTGCCGCATCCTGACACATTGGCTGTACATTCTGGATTTGTGCATCCGGTACCTGCAGGGCAAGACACGTCAGGCACAGCGAGAGGATCAAAGCAAGCGCTGCCTGCGCGCTGTGCACGGGAGGGCACGCGCTGCCCATCCCAGCAACCCGAGCCTCGCCTGGCACGTCCCCCGTGCCAAGAACCTGAGCTCTGTCTTGGGAGATGCTGGCTTGCACACACGACCAGAATGTTTTCCAAAATGCCTGCATGTAATTCCCATCCGGAAATGGATGGCTACGTGGGACTCGCAGGGTTCACCTGACCCTCTGCCTTCCTGAAAAGCAGCTGCAGTGATTCACTAAGTGTGGCTATCTGCAAGGGGTTGGAAGCTGAGCTCGGAGCTCTCAGAGACAAGGTATGCTTTTGCTTGCGGCTGTGCATTGTTATTGTTCTGAAGCTCTTCTACTTTCGTATCAACAAACCCTCACCAACTCTAAGCTGATGGTACATAAGAGAGAACCCATCAGGAACTTGCATTAAAAGCTTGCTGCTCTTCCTACTCGCTCCAGCTGACCAACCAAGCTGGAAACAGAAACTCAAGTCCCAGTGAGAAAAGGCAGGTCTATACACACCAGCCCTTCACACTCACCACCGGCTCTTGCCCAATGAAAGTCGAACCCAAGGCAAGGCTAAGGGAAAAGGAAGAAGGACCAGGAGAGGCACTACACCTGCACATACTGCTCCTGGAGATCACTGCAGAGCAGTTAGAGGACAAAAAGCTGGGCCCTCCTATGCTTTGTTGGTCAGCCCTGAAAGTACGACTACTAAGCTACACATTCCATAATGAAAACAAATGCCTTGATTTGTTCTCACCTAGTCTGACCCAAACAGAACACAGTATCAGATTGTTGCTATTTCGCACTTACTCATTGAAGACCAAATCTGGAGCAAAGTAAAGCATCCTGGAATTGACGTTGGTGAAAGATCTCCAACCCATAGCGAACACCATAAGGCCCATCCAAGAGTACTGGATTATTGACATCTGGTCATCCACATGCAGGTTGCGAAATCCTGTTAAAAAAGGAGAAGGGGGTTTTACAAATTAACATTGGGTTCTTTGCCGGTACTGGAACTGTTTTTCTCCAGCCCTCCTGCATTACTCCTGTGAGCACAAGGTGGTCCACATCCCAACCTCAGCTCATCCCAGGACACACGGATGCATCTGGGTGGCACAGCCACAGTGTCAACAGCCAGGTGCTCACACACCCTCATAACCAGCCAAAGCACACACCTGTGAGTGGAAGGGGAGAAAGGAGATCCCCAGGCACGGGTGAAGAACACAAGCAGCAAAGCATTATACAGGAAAGCAGTGAGAAGTGGCAATAAATGACATCCTCCCCCTGAGAGTCCCGGAGATCTTCACAAATTGTATTTGAAGGCTTTGCAAGACCCAGTGAAGTGAACCAGTACCATTCTGCAACAGACTGGACAAAGACACAGCAGGATGGGATTCAGTGACTTCCTAAAGTCCCTTCTGGAACACAACCAAACCTCAGCACTTGCCCTGCAACAGCCCTTGTTTCTGGCACTAATTAGACACCCAGACCCACTGGAACGTACTGGAACGCCACATGCTCTGCAGTCACAGCGTTAACTCCCAACGTCTGCTCCAAAACATTCACAGTCACCAAGTGAGACAGTATGTCAAAAGTAAGTGAAAGCAACAGCTGAAGAGGATTTGTTGGCTTTGTTCTGCTAACAGAAATAAACCAGCTGGGGGAGAGTGGGAGCCCCAGCAACAATACAACTAACCAGATCACATTCTCCAGGTGCTGAGAAGCCATCATTAACCAATTGCCTCCCCTGGTGCAGTTCTGGCACTCCAGGAGATAAGCCAAAACTCTTCCAATCGATTAGGACTTCATCAAATTTAAGCAAATAGATTGTAATGTATAATGTTCAGAGACAGCAAGTGATCACGAAGCTTCATCTCATGGTTAACGGGCTGCTTCCATTTCTCTGTCAAATACACAATGCATTTATCTAATGAATATGAAAACTTCTGCTGAATCACAAGCTGAACAAAACTATCAATTAAATTCAAATTAGTATTCCCAGATGGCAGTTCACAGCTAAATCCCAGGCGTGTTTGCAACACACACACAAACACCTCCAACACCGTACTTTTTTCCAGATACTTGTAAGTAGGCAAATGTGATCTGGTTTCAAGAAGATGATTCGTTACTGCAGTGAAACTTTAAAGCAATTCCAACACCTCCAATGTGTAATAGTAACTCACTGAGGCAATCCACTCTTGCCTGGGAAGCTGTCAACTGTAAATAAGCACAAGTCGTGTTTTACTGCTGACTAAACCTGCCTTACATTTGTGCAGTTTTGCTCTAGATCGCCTATCACTGGATTAAGAACCTGAAGTTTGTGCCCCAGAAGCATGCCACCGAATCTGAACGGGTGATTTCCACCAGAGGGGTGCTCAGCTGCCAGCTGAACAGGAACCTTCTGGCAGCCAGAGAGAAACTCATTCAGAGCACACGAGTACAGACAAGGCAACTGGGCAACTCCAGGACTTCATAAAATCAGTCGTACTCATCTCTAGGATGTATCTAAGTTAGATTTTCATAGCTAACTACAGTACTCCATGCTATTAAAAAACCTTTCTATTTATCCAGTAAATTTGGTCAGTGATTAATTCACTGCTTAGTAAATCCTAAGCACTTCCTTGAATTTCCTCCTGCTCCGTAATTGTCACCATTCTCTTTCCCTGCCCAGACTTTCTGAAAAGATTGGAAACATGTGAGTTACTTGAAGAGGAGCCATGTGATGGCCCCTGTGGCTGAGACTCTGAAGAAAGTAAGATGGTGTAGGGAACACTCCCACACTGGTATCCACATAATGAGGGTGAACCTTGTCTGCTACACACTCATCCCCCTCAGATCCATAAGGCTGGGAAGTAATACCCTTTCCCAACTTAGGAAGTTCTTTTGGGAAGTTCTGCTGGGCCCAAGAGGTGCTGTAGGGCCAGAACTGCAAGCCAAGGCATGATGGAAAGGGTGAGGTGAGAAAGAAGACAAACCAAAGGTCTCTGATGTTTGGCTTCTCTTGTGCCTATGTTTTGGGAGCAAAGCCCATAAGTCTTACCACCAAAGACAAAACTTGTAACCTGCAAGTGACTTGGAGACAGAAAACATACCACGAACAGCAAACTATGTAAATTTAGCCCTAATTCACACGAATGATCCACCCCTCTTTAGCTGGGTTTAGCATCAACAGGACAAAGCTGTTGGGAACACCAGCATCAATGGCAGAACTTCCTCATCCTGCTTGCCATGCCCCTGCAAACCAGCCCCAAAGCTACCTCTGCAGGCAGCCAGTCTCACCTGGGGCTGGCTTCCCCTCCACCACTGAGTATCAGCTTTGCACCACAGCTGGGGTAACTATTTCTTGCTCCTAATCTTTGCTATGAGAAGGATTTTGGTGCTTTTGTTCATTACCTTGTAATTATGTTCACTTAAAATAAAATACTTGTGCAAGCTTCACCAGTGTTTAAGGAAAAGTATTTGAACAGAACAGTTTCGTTGTCAGAGGACTTAAAACTGCTTTCTGCTTGTCCACAAAAAACAAGTTCTAGAAACACACTGGCTGAGTTTTTTAAAAGGAATCATTGCTTCCAGTTTCTGAGCTAAATGCCCTTAAACAAAACTGTCTCTAAAAACCTCCCCCATCCAGACATCTTAAATGATGTACTGTCAGAATCACTGTGAAAGAAAATAAATACAGAATCACTGTGAAAGAAAATAAATACAAACTTAATGCCATAATATACTGTTAAATTTCTTAGTATTGGCATGTTTTGAAGAGACCCAAATGAAGATTTCTTTCTACAGAAAGAAATCATAGTAAAAGTAAAATCAGATTTACTGACAACTTGAAAAAGATCAATGCCATTTTGCTGTGAATAATCACAAAGCAGCAGTTTGGAAAGAAATTCTTTATATTCTCTCTTGATGCAGTGCTGTGCCAGATTAATTATCTTCCTCAGAGACCAGCAGCTGAGCACACGTTACCACAAATTGCATTTCCAATATAAAAACATACTCATTGTGTATCTGGAAGTCTTATTATCTGGAGAATGAAAAAAGATGCACAATTAACTGTATCCTTATAGTTAAAGGTGATTTAGCTATACTGTAAGGCTGTATATTTGAAACAGAAAAGCAAGCGATGGCATGGAACACCCCTAAAGCACTAATGCCAAGTACACAGAGATTTGGCAATCGCTTTAGTAACGAGGTCCATCTCCCATGGAGTATTTCACCTGATCACTTGCACACCGAGCCGCTAGAACCACAGAGGGCGTTCAACTGCGGTGCTGGCAGCGGAGCCGCAGCCTTTTCCCACACATGCGGTCCAGCTATTTTTGATAGACTCTGTTCCTAACAGCTTCGGGAACAAACTGAAGACTTCTCATTCGCTGCCAGTGAGAATGACCCTTAAACTAATGCGTTTGAGTGCTGATCTAAATTAGCTGTGAGGCCTTCACTGAATCTATGCGTATGGAACAGGGAAAACACGCACTCCGTCCACTTACCTTGAAGTGGAGGGATTTTATGGATTTAACGAGATTTTTTAATTCCGTGTTCCAACAGCTTCCTTGACAAGCAGTGGTTATTTCATCTTTCCAGCAAAACCACAGTTTCATTCTACCTTCTCCTGTGCAGAATTTCAATTGCAAAGGGTCCAAAGGGCCATACACTACATTTTCTCCACCAGACAGAGGCTGGTATTGCTACTGCAGGCAAGCAGGATGCAGAAATGCTCCTACCTGATGCAGCCTTGTTTCTAGGCCATCACTGAAACCTCGCTGGAAGAAGTGCAGTAACACCTTGCTGAATATTAATCACTCTTGCTATGCAGATGATTTCCAACGCTGGATGCCAGATTAATAATCACCTATTAACCAATAGTATTCTACTGCCAGCGTTATCAGGCTGAGGCTACCTCCATTACAGGTGCACGTTCCCCTTTCTCCCACCAGGAGCAGTCATCGGAAAGCAAAAGCCTTCTCCCCTTTACATTGATATGCATCCTAACTGACAGGGGAGCTTGTTCATCTTTAAGCCAACACTTGTGCTAGATGTGCTTCATTAATCGGGAAAGGGGAAGAGTGGATGGCATTTTCCCCCTTGCTGAGGACCACGTAGCACTTCCAGCAGGCAGAGGATGCAGCTGTGTCTGGCAGGGGCACTGGCTGGCCAAGATGTGTTGCTTCAGCTGCTGGCCCCGGGCACTGTTCCTCCTCCCGGGCAAGCCAGGCTGTGCTGCTGTGCAGCAGGTCAAGCCCTCTACTCTGCTCCCATTGCACCTCACCAGCAACAGCATTCATTAAACAGCCTCTAGCTTTCCATGAAACTGGGTCAACATCTTTCTGCTTTGATAAAAACCATATCCCACTGTTTTAAATTGCTTTGGTTCTGTTTCCATTTCTCCCCCTACCTGCATTCACCCACATCATCTGAGCTCACCAAACACAGGGCTGCCCAGCCAACCTGCAGACCTGGGAAACGAAAACACTTCTGCTGTATTAACCAAAATGTAATTTAAATAAATTATAGACAGCAAACCACCTCTGGCTACGGGGATACTGCAAGTCTATTCAAAAAGCGAGGCAGACACAGTGTGTGCAGGAGGGGCAGTGGTGGGCAAGGCTGCCCACACTGGGATCCAGAACCTGTCCAAGCAAAGGGGCTGCATGGCCACCGCCCACCTGGAGCTCCACAACAGCAATAGTGCTGCAGTTGCTTCTTCCTTCCCTAGAAACCACCAGCAGAATGACTAAGTGGCAAATTTGTGGTTATTACTGTTCAACTGCAGTGCTGGCACACACAAGGGAACTACTGGGGAAAGGTGCAGAAAACAAAGTGGCTTCACGCTTGCTCCAGGCACAGTGATGCTGATGATGGGCCAGCACCAGCTTTGCAGCTGGCAGCATTCCACTATAGCTCCAGAAGGCATCCATGTCCTGAGGAGGGTGTAGGGGTTAAGCTGTAACTGCTCAGATGTAAGAAGATTAGAAATAATCTTGCCCAGATGCTGTCACTGGCACAGCGGGCACCAGCCCTGGGGGGCAGCAGTGCAGGAGCTGGCAGCACTGTGCACCATGGGGCTGGAGAGCAGGTGTAGTAACAGAACAATAAAAGCTTTTGATAAGGAGGTGATTACACTGAAAAATGTTTTTCAAAGCAGTCTCCCTTTCTGTCAGCACTCCTGCAGTTTTACAACTGATTGCCAGTCAGGTTTGATGGTGTCTCTGTGTACTTTCCTGGAGGAATCTTGATGTCTGATGTGGATATGCCGGAAGAGAAAGCATGATTTGTTCCTGGTTTCACAAGCTAGGTGAACCTTTTCTGACTCAAGAACATAAGAAACAGAATGAGCTACTCTGCATTTACACATATTCAGTCTAACACCCCTCCTGGACCAGCTACTTCCAGGGGGACTGCGAAATTTTTGGGAACGTTAAATGTCTAACTAGGTTCATCACCAGGTTTTGGCAAACTTATTTTGTCTCAGTTTCCTGCTTTGGTCCTATCACCTCAAAAAATAGTAGGATCCCTCTTTTCTGTGGCATTTCCTGCGGAATGGGGCCAGGGTGAGGAAGGCAGCTCAGGATCGTTCCCAAGCCCCAGTCTCAGGGATGCTGGGAGGTGAACTGGATGCCACTGCACCCAGAGTGCAGGCTCCTGCAATTTCACTCAGTTGGCAGGATTCCGACTTGCAGCCAAACAGACTGGCAACCTCTATGCTCAGAACCAAAGAACACCCTCAATGAAACCCGTGTGTCACCAGGATGTTTCTGTTAACAGCACCTGCTCACTGTTACCATTCGGCCAACTCCCAACCCTTACGTACTCCTCCCGTATCACAACAATCAAGGTCTCATAAATACATCTGTGCAGCCTGTCGCACAAGAGCAATCTGCCTGCCAGGAAAAAGCCCTTTGGGATTTTGTTTGTATCTCTTTTGCTACAATACAGTTAACTGGCTTGTGAAATACGAAGGATTTCTCCCACATCTCCAACCTCAGCTCTTTTCAGCCCAGATTCCCCCATCTCACTTTCCAATCATGAAGTGGCACACTGGTGATTCACCTGGAGAATTTACCCTTTTCCACCACTTCTTGAGGGTTATGGGACTGGCTTAGAGAAAACCTCTGCAGGTCTGGAGAACACAGCCCTGGAAGTGGAGTAAAACCTCTGCATGGGGAAGAGCTGCATGCCTACATGGTACCGTGTGCCGGGGTTATCAGAACCAAAGCGTAAGTTTTGGCATGCTTTGTCACTCCTTAGTCACCTCTCCCATCAACCAACCATCCAAAGGAGACAAACCTCATGCTACCGCTGCCTGCTGCACGGGCATATTGCCCAGGCAGGTGCCTCATGAAGATGCTCCCCAAGGATCTGAACTGTGTGATGGGAAGGAGGGATGCGGGCTGCAGACCACCTCCTTTGAATCCACCCCAGTGATGCATGCAGGAAGCTTTATAAACATACCAGGGAAGGGGGTGGAGTTCTTTGTTTTCCTCCTTACCTGGCAAAGCCTTTGCCCATTTGACCACATAGATCAGCTGCCTCTCCCCAAGCTCATTCAGGCTGGTCAGCAGGTTGGAAAAGGAGTCCGGCTGGCTGTTGTCATGGCCAGCACACACCACACCAGGCTCAATGGCCTCCAGGACGTTGAGGAAGATGGGCTGGCACTCATACCCATCAATGCGCGTCATCACCATCTTGGGAGCTTGCTCTTCTGTGGGGCTGGATGAGCTGGCTGCCTCCACTTCATCTTGTGTCTTCAGGTTGCCCATCTTCTTCAGCTTGCGGGCTGTGGGAGTGACACATTTCAGTGTGAGGCTTAAAATTAAAAAAGAAACTTGAGGTTTCTTGGCCTCTGGCTCCAACATTTATATTCATGAGGAAAGGAAAACTGACGACCAGCAGCTGCTCCTTCAGTGCATGCCACCCAAAGAGTGTCCCACCATTGCAGACCTCACACAGGGGCAAAAGGGACAAGTAAACCCATTAATCTAACATAAAAAATAACAAGAATCATTTACATTCTCAGCTGTGGCTGGTATCACATTAAATCCCACTTAGAAATGGAGAGAATGAACCAAGGAAAAGAGAGAAGAGGTGACTCAAATAAAACAACTACTCACATGCAATTAAAAAGGGAAGCAGTGCAAGCAAATTAACTCAGTAGATGGTCACATTTCAGGGAAAAAAGCTGTTGCACTCAGATGCTCAAGTGGGATTGTTCCACTCCAGGGCAGAGTGGAAGTGATGCAACCAAGATAAAACCCTTCTCCTTGCCTGGGGCTCCTGCAATGCCTGCTGTCTCATAACCAAGCTCTCCCAGCCGGGTCACTACTCTACAAATACATCATGCAAAATACATTTTAAAAGGAGCAGGCAGCTACATGGCTCTTTCCCTGGAGTCTCCCCATAGCCCACAAGCAAGGAGACTCAAGCAGGGGTAGCCTTGGTCTGCTGGTTAGGTTCAAGAGCAACACCAGTAGAGCAGGCTTGTGAGTTTGGAACTGAAGGCAGTCAGCGACTGTACTCATGTCACCATGACAAAGTGTCCCTCCTGTGCACTCAGCTCTTAATTGCAGATGCTCATCTGCTAGTAAGATATACAAGGAGCTTCAGACGCGTGACTTGAGATTCTGTGTTCACCTAATTTGACATCTGCATGACAGTGCTCAGCACAGCACAGGCTGGCAGGTTACTGCAGACAGGAGCTGCTCTCACCCTTTACTAACTCCAAAACCCCGAATTAATTAAAGAAAAAAAGACAATTGTTTAATTCAAGCAGAGAATATAACATCAAACCAACTGTTTTGGGGGTTTTGGCTCCATTACATGACACTTATCTTGTTTCCTTACAGCTGTAATTACAATAATAAGCAGCGAAACATCAATATGTCTACTTACAGTGCAGCTTTGTAAATCAATTCAAAAGGTGATCTTTAAGTAAGGTACTTCAGATGATCTACTATACAAGCAATTAAGATAGGCTGCTCTGCAGAGAAGAGCAATTAAAGAGAGAAACGGGAAAGCAGGGCTGCAGTGCAGTGTGACATCCTCCAGCCATGCTCTGCTTGGCTGTTAGGCCAGTCAGAGCCTCACATCCCATCCCTCCAGAAGTCACAGGCAGCACCAGCATGAGGCAGAACCCCAGTGCTCCCCTCCCTGAGCCCCGGAGAGCTGATCCCCAGGACAGGTACAGCACTGCTCCCCCAGGAGCTGCACTTGGGTTTTGGTTTTGACAAGCAGCACGGAGGAGGGGAGCACAGAACACTGACCACTCGCTTCCAAAGCACCACACGTTAATTCAGGAAGGAGGCAACGGGGCTGACTCCACCTGAGGCAGAAACCATGTCTCATGGTCATGCTTGGCGCTGGACCTTTAGAGACAGGAGTGCTGCTAGGAAGAAAAGATCTCGGCTTGAAAGAAGAAATAAAAAGCAAATGGTGTCTTCCAAAGATGAATAAACACTACCCATCAGGTCCTGTGTGTAAATGGAGCCAAATCCACACTGTATAAACACACACATGGTTTGGTTTAAATGTTAATTTTTTTCCCCTTAAAACTGAATTACCTAGTCCTAAGAGATACTGTATGAAGTAAGAAGAGAGCAAGCAACCAACTATGCTGACTCTGAGACTGCAGGCTTAAACCAAACCCCTCCATGTGAGAAAGCACTGGTAACTGCTCTTACCAGACGAGCCTGATGTTTGTGCTTGCCAGGAGTGGTTGTTCTATAGATCACTGAAACACTGATGTTACTAGATGGAGAAAAGCTTCTAAGGTGAAGAGTAGCTTATACTCAGTCACCTCTGCAAAACCCCTTATTGATAGTAGCTCCTACTCAGCAGCTACTGGGAATAAAAATAGGAATAAAGAAATGAAATACATCTGTTATACTTTTATTCCAGGATGAGCTAAGCTAGGCAGAAGCCTACATTGTACTTCCCCGAAGCATGGTGGGGTGACAAAGCACAAGTGACAGCAAACACGCAGTGTCCCTCTTAGCTGTTAACGTGTAAGAGGGAAGCCTTGACATGCAGCTGCTGGCACAGCAGCACCAAGTCATGCCTGCAGCAAGGCACGGGGTTAGCCAAGAAAACACCCGACATACTTCAAAAAAAGCTGGAAGGATGCATATAATTATAGAGGATCGTGACAAAATATTCAGCAGTGCAAGAATCCGCAGGGAGCACACTAGAGAGCAATGATCAAAGTGACACATGCTTTAAGCAAGTGAAGCCTGCCTGCCGGCCCTCCTGCCGGGCGTTCCTGAAGCCCTGGTGAAGGAGCATGCTGGGCTCCAGCATGGATTTTCCATGACTGCCAGGACTTGTGAAAGTTCTATGGACCTGGAGGAACAGTGCTTCTGCACCAGCAATGACAGGGAATCCTGCCAGCCCCACGCACCGCATGCTGGCGTCAGCTGCAGGCGAGAAGCTCTCGGCAGAGAAGCTGAAACAGGACTTGACTTGTATCCTGTTCTTTCAATTTCCTAACATCCACATGTGGCTTGCCAAAAACAGATCCTGTCAAGCTATCAGTCTTCTCCAGCATGATAATTTTAGCTGTTAATTACAATAGCACTAGCACAGCAGACATGTTTAAGAGAGCTGACTCAGTCTGGCCCACATGAGTTTAAAAAAATAACTCGAACGACATAAAATCAGCCAGTGCTGCTGAATGATTTCAAATCACCCAGATGATACATCTCAAAAAGTAATGATAAATGCTGGAACAACATCAGACAGGTTTGTTTCTTATGAGGGTTCACAGCTCTTTGCTAGTGAATGTCTACCTTCACTTCAAAAAAGACAACCAGCCATTTCTACTAAAATAGTCTGCATGACAATGCATAGATGGGCAAACAATAATGAACATTAAGGACTGATCACTGAACAACGTCTGCTGATAAGCTCTATCTATCAAAGCAATGTTCATTTCACTGTAAGAAGATACATCAAGCAACTGAAAAAGCAAGCCATTTTCAATGAATGCCAAACTCCATCCTCGGCAGCATTAACTCACACCAAAAACTGATGGACAAACTCAGAGGCCTGAGCTGGCCAGGACAGTTCAGTGAGCACAGGATTAGCAGGATCCCAAGCCATGTGAAGGAGGGAAGCACTGGCCTGGAGAGCATCCTACCACTGCCTTTAAGCAGTGATGCTGCCTACATCATGAAACTGCGATTAGATGTTCACCGTACGAGGGAGGTGTTGGCAAACTGCAGAAGCCGTAAGAATAGTAAAGACTAGACAACACACCCCAGAGAAAGGAAGAATTTCACCCAGGTGTCTATGCAGAAGGCTTAAAGGGTTATTAAGTCACAGGCAGCAAAACCCACTGTGGAGACAGAAATTCAATAGAAGTATGCTTTCAGTCTAGCAAAGCTGTAATAAAGATCCAGTTGCTGGAAATCAGGAACAGACATGATGAAAAATGCAGTACATCTATTGCAACACTGAAGGGAATGAACTATTGCAACTGCATGGCAAAAAACGTGTTAGATTCTCCACTGCTGGAAATGCTTACATCAGTATCAAACGCTTCTATAGGACATGATCTCTACTTTAACCACGGCAACTGGACCTGAATTAGGACTAAATACAGGTGTACCTGAAGACATAGGTTTTTGCAAGATATCAGCAGTTATGACAGTAGTTTTCTAGCCCTACCATTAACAAAACAAACTGAATTGTGCATGTTTGGGAGGTTTTGCCCCTAGACAGGACCACCATGGAGCACAACTGCTAGGCTGAGGGCAGAGGTGCTGGGTTCTCACAGCGGGAATGGCCCATGGGACATTGCATGCCACAACTAAAATGCACTGGCAGCAAACAGGAGGTGCCTTAAACTCAGTTCAGCAGGAGCTGTGCTGGCCGAGGGGTGGCAGGGTCCTGACTAAAGCAGGACAAAGGGATCCAGATACCTGTGCAGGATCTGTGCAGCCACCTGCACTCGCAGCATGAGCTGGTGCTGTGTGAGAGTTAGGATGGTGCACCAGCAGAACCGATGTTCAATGCTGCACATGAAACCTGCATTATCACTCTTTCTTATTTTTCATTTCTCCTCCTCTTGGGCTTTACAGCGTAGATTGGGAGAGAAGATTCTGTTTAATGGATTTCAGTTTGCAGGTCAGAGTGATCTCAATAATGAAGTGCTTCGACATACTGCCATTCTGTGCCAAAGCAGAGAGTCCTAAATAAGGTATTCAGCGTGTCACCTCCTCCTCTCATTAAACATACTGAGAGCTGCAGGTCTGCTTGGTCACAGGGGCTCTGTTCTACCTTACCAGAGACTGGTAAGTAACAGGCAGTTAAAAACAACTCTGTGGAGCTTGGAAGAGTTTCAAATGCTCTGCACTTCTACGGTGGAAGAAATAACTGTGGACAAACTCATAGCGTGCATGTTTTTAACAACTGCCTTTAAACCGACATTCAAAACAAATGTAAAACAGACCAGGCAGAACAGGTCAGGGTGACCCAAAGAGCTTAAGAAAAAAAGGGAGGGGGGGCTAGCAGTATTAGCATTAATTTTGTCAGCATGTCCTGCAGAGAAATGTTACACTGATGTATGTCTTCTCTTAAGGAAAATTCACCAGAATAAAGCACATAAAAACAGGAGCTTGCTTTGGATGGCATTATAAAGCCCTCCTGTGGGCTGTGGACTGGGGTGCTGGGTTTGGCTCTTCATTGCTGTACCCCACTCAGGAACCCAGAAACCCCACAGCAGAGTGGTGTTGGTGTCCTGGTCCCAACCCTCCCAGGCAACAGGGGAAGGGTCCCACAGGAGCCTCCCTGCTTCCCTGGGATGCCATGGCTACGAATGGCCAGCAGCAGCCATGAAAATTACTGTCATCAGGACCTCCTGCAAGCAGGCATGCGGGTAGGCATGGCTACCCATCTGGGATGGGTGACCGGGGCTGGGGCAGAGCTGGGGAACAGGGACACAGACAGCTACCCGGTAACTCCAGCAAGCAAACTGCCTGCCTGGTTGCATCAGGTCCACCGGGCACCTCCCTGATGCTCAGAGATCCTGGTGCGCCTCTGCATGTGCCAGTACACATCGCTCCGGCTCACCCACGGTGGAGAGGAAGCATAAACAACGAGCGGTCAGAGCCAGCACTCCAGGTGACATCATGAGGTCTGAGGACTGCATTATCTTTGGAAACGTTTGTTTTTTCTGCTTGCTACCAGGAGGAAAGGAGCCAGATGTCCTGCATTGCTCCCCCAGGAGCTGTGCCCCCACTGCTTAGGTTTACTACCCAGTGCTTCAAAAGCAGAGGGGAGAAGCTGGCTCCTGCCCTGCCAACTGGACGTGTTTGAGCTATAGAACTGCTCAGGGAGAAATAAAAGTAAAACCACTCAAAGAGCAATAAACCAGAGCCATTTTGGTAGCAAGCTCCAAGACATTCCCGAAGCTCCGGGAGGCACTGCCCATCCCAGCAATGGCGGAAGTATTTAAACTAAAACTTTGGCACATCTGACTAGGGAGGGCTCCCCCCTGCCTCACTCTGCACTGTGCCTGACGCTGCCAGCAGCTTTCCTTTGTGCATCACCCATGACTCCCCCTCCACTTCACTGTCAGGGGCCTCTCCATCATGGGTAAGGTTCATCAGCCCCATCTTTTAATTTTCTTCCTCACTCTCACATCAAATGAACTCAAAGATGAGCCACACAGTGATCTACGTTGTAGCTTCCAGATTTTAGATACAGGCAGTGTCAGGTTTTGGTAGAGCTATCGGTTTTGGAACAGACTGTAACGAGTATCTTTACCAGTGATACAGAAGCAACTTCTATTCAGCAAAGAAAAATACTGGGGCAGTAATTGTATAAAGAATTTTATAAAGTAATTTTATGAAGAAAAACGCCCCTTTCTGCCTGGGAAAAATAATTTTAATTTAGGAATGCTCTGTTCAAAAGGGCTTTGGTGTGAGTGAGAATCCAGCTTACCCAGCTGTTTCCATTTTTTCAGATTAACACATCTTCAAATTAAGGAAAAGAATGTTTTCTGAAACAAACAGACATTAATGGAATTCACATTCTGCTATTAGAAACCTGCAAACGTTTCCCAAAGCTCATTATGCTCCACCAGCCTCAGCTTCTCAGCCATCTCCTGCCTATTTAGTTTGCCAAGTACACTCTTTATCTTCAGGGTATCTCCCACTGCAAGGACCCAGGGGACGTTATTCAAGTATTACCTCCAAGAGTCATCCCAGCTTCATAGCACTTCCGCAGGCGGCAGGACGGGCAGTTTTTCCTCCTGAACTTGTCGATGGTGCAGTCGTTCCGGCTGGCACAAAGGTATTTCTGTTTACCTACAGACACCAGAGGAAACAGCTGATGGTGGTGGGTACCGATCAGAGCAAGTTCACAGGAGTAAATGAACCCATGCTTTCTCAGCACCACTGGAGGAGAGTGGGGAAGGTGAAAAGGAAGGGGAAAGGGAAGGGAAGAACCATATCAGTGCTGGTTCCAGGTTTAACCCCCCTCCTCCCAAAGTGGAGTACTTATGCCAGAAGTTGGCATCTTCTTGGGAAAACATCACAGTTCTACCTCTGCTGCTACAGGAGTGGTTCATGGCCAGACACACGCTTTGCATGAGAGCTGGCTGCCCGAAACACAGTCACTACTGTTCCACCACACTTCAGTGCCCATCCCTACCTGCCCTCCCGCTGCCAGGTGCATGGCTCCTCTGCCCACACACCTTACAGGCTTCTAGACCATGACCTCCTAGGAGGTAAATCACCCTGCTCTGTGCAGCACAGCAGAGGTAGGCAATAAACAGCAGTTAAAAAGTAATGAAATATGGAAAGTTCAGTTCTCATTTTTTAACTGCCATATATCTATTGCTTGGCTTTTTGCTGTAAAGATCTGTTTTTCGCCTAGAACATTTCCAAAACACAGTTTGACCCTCCAGCTGGCACGCACTTACAGTTTGTTGAACGCAGACTCCGGACAGTGGCCTTCTCTCCACAACCATAACTCTCTTTACTGTGCTTTTGGAGGCTGAATTATTTGCAGTACCACCCATTAGTACTAATCAGGTTTGCTGTCTGCAGTTTACAGACACCGGGATTGGGAAACTGATTTATAAACTGCTGCTCCACAAGCTCTGCCACTGTGCGTCTGATGCCAGGCTGTCACCAAGTCACCATGTTCCCTGTCCAGGAAGAAACTGAGACCAGCCATTCCCTGTAAAGGAGACCTTGCACTGCAGCAGGTTGAGGGGGCTTGCAGAAAAGGCATAAGTTACCTATTGTCAGACTAACGGGTTTCTCAGACGCACCTTTCCTCTTGTTTAGAGAGTAGCCCTTAGAGTTCCGTATTTCAGCTTGGGTTGTTTTGGGTTTCTTTTCTGCCTCATTTGCTAGATGTGCCAGGAATGAATTTTCCTTCCTGACTCATTATCATTTGTTTTCTTGTCAAGTCTAAACTGGATGAGGATTTATTTGACATTTGATTCATTCAATATTTGGTCTTCACGCCGGTCCAAACTAAACCAATCTCAGTAATTAACAGAGCTGTGCACGTCACAGACTCTGCCAATGCCTGCAAAGTGACTGGAAATCAGTCTATATCCAACTTAACCTTTATTCATCATCCTGCAAGAGTTTGCTTTCTGTATTCTCATAGGAGTAACGTTTCGGAGTCATCAGAGATCAATTAAGAAGATTAGGTTGAATCTAACCGCTTGATGTGAGAGCTTTGACAAGAGATGCACCTATTTTGGTGCACTGATTTAACAACTCCCCACCTCCCACATACAATTCCACACCTTCTGAAGATACTGGAATCAGAAAAAGTGGCAATTTTTTAGCAACCCAGCACCACAGGCCTCACTGGCACTGTCTGTTGCTTCCCCACGGACCTCCAAAGCAGCGAGGTTTCCTGCACTGGTGGAAAGAAAGAGCCCAGAGGAGGTCCCACCACTCCTTCACCAGCACCACCAGAAGCCCTCCTGCAGCCTCTCAGCACAGGGTGGCAGGGAAGCCGGTACGAAGCTCAGTGTGCAGTGAAGCCCTTCGCACACTGTGTGCACACAAGGCTACACCAAAGGGCTGCAAAAATATACTTTTGCAATTCTCGGAATCATCCCCATTAAAAGCTGATCATTACACCACCTCCAGGGCCTTAGCTGTTAAGACTGCAGACATAAGAGTTCATTACCTGCAGCACGTGATACCTTGCTAAATCCTTTTAACACCATTCTCATCAGCATCTCTTCTTACCCCCCTACCCTTGCTCATTACCAGAGTTAAGGACACTTAGAGAAGCCTCAGAAGCAGTGATGACACCAAACCCCAGAGAACACAAGCACCATTCTTCCTTTCAACAGTTCATTGAGGAGGATGAGTAATAAACAACTTCAGCTGAAAGTGGGTTACTTGGAGTTATTTTTATGCCGCAGGAAACGAGTGCCGAGACCATACTCTCTCCACTCAACCTCTTTATGCGTATTTAACAAACAAGAATGGACATCCTCCTTTCACAGGCACAGGCATGGGGAGCTGTAAGGTGATTTTGCTCTCCTTTCCCCCCAGCTGCATTGCGGAATTCCTGCCTTGTGAACAGCTTCTGACACTGGGATGCTCCAGACCCTATCAAAACCACCACGAGTACAGAATGGCTGGGATTGAGAGTACCAGAAAGGCTCAGCCCACAGGGACCAACGCAGTACCTGGCCAAGGCCATCAGGCTGTTGTGAGCAGTGCTGCCTGGGGAGCATCCACACAACCCTCCTGCTCTACCCTCACCCTGCGGCTCCTGCTCCTATCCCTATCTCACCTCCCTGAACTACAGCATTTTTGCAACAATAATAGCTCAAAGTCTTTTAAAAGGTCAAGCCTCTCCCTTGAACGGCTTTAGTAAGGGAAGGCAGCACAGTCACTGCCCGAGCCCCACAAGGACACTCCAGGGTCAGGCACAGCTCTATCTGAATTCCCCTCTCAAAAGAAGGAACATCCACCAGCCCCATCCTCTTTTGTCCCCCAAGCTCTGGGCAGCCTACTGACATGTGAGCTTGCCCCCCACCCCACTTTGTCCCCCCAGGCACCCACGGGCACCCATGGGAGGGGAGCAGATTGAAGAACCAGCTTCCAGCCTTGCTCAATGAGGCAGCCATGCTGTTCCCCACCAGCTCTTCAGCAGCAGCCGCCACCTCTGGCACTGGAAGGGACATGAGAGTGAATGATCCCCCCCCCATAAGACCAGACAGGGTGCCCCCGGTGCCTGCAGCCCTCCCGGATCACTGTGCACAAAATAAGCACCCTAGAAGAGTGTCTATGACCACCTCCCTGCCGCAGGGCTCAGCTGAGGGTAAGCTTTTAAGTCCCAGTCAAAAACTCACCCCACAGTCATAGCACGGTGATTTTGCTGAAATGGCAAGGGCCTGCCTCCTGGTTCACAAAATAAACCCTTCGGGGCAGAAACCAATTTTCTGTTAACTGTATATGCAGAGTCTAGCACAGTTTATTTTAAGCTGTTAGCATTAACAAAAAGGGAAACGGTCATGCAGTGGCTATTCATGAGTCTGCTTCTGCCTAGCAGGAGAACAAGCTACTCGCTCATCTTGTCCTAATTCCAAGGAACGTAGCTAAACCTGGCCCCTCATCACTGCTGTCCCCATGATCTAGGAGAAGGACCACACCACGTCACTGCTACAGCAAAGCCAAGCAATCCTGAATGGCCTGCACTCATCCCACCGACCACACAGAGCCGTGAGAGTCGGACACTCATCACCCCCGGTATGAGCTGACATCAGTCATCTGATAGCACAGACACAGACTGACGGCATCTCTGGTGGTTACCCCAGAGACAGCCCCTCTGCTCCATCCACACCAGTGTATGCTGTCCCTTCTCTCCAGGCTGGGAGCATGCACCACTTGCACAGCCATGCACATCCTTGTAAACCTGAACACAGCAGGAGCAGGCAGAGAAGACAGTGCCATTGGCTGCAACAGCCCAGAGAACAAGGGAGGGTTGCTGGGACACAGAAGGGTTCCATCTGTCTTTAGTAACTTCTTACACACAGACTTGATTTTAATTTCAGGATGATTTACTCTCTTCATTTAAGAACAAGCAGAGATATTTTGCAATCAGCTGCTCTGCATTTAAAGATAAATGCACTGGTTTTTCTCTCATTAACACTGGAATGATTTTTTTTTTCCTCCTTTTCTTTTCTGCAAACAGACGCTTTCTCACAGCACTCCAAAGCAGAGGCTCTTGCTTTGCAAACCTGTAGTACAGGTCTAAACTTCAAACATACTCTCCCAGCAGTCCTGCTCTTGGCAAAGCCAGTCACTCAGATTGTACTTACAACGGGGATGCTGGCAAGGTGTGGGCCTCAATATAACTACCCAGTTGATGACTCTGCAGATGTGTGCCCAGAGAAGACCCCTTTCCTTCCCTGCCTATCCAGATGCTGTCTGACACACATGTGGGTGAGAAGTGCAGTTACAAAGGTACTCAGCATCCCTCTCCCATGCCAGACCAGAACAGAGCCCTAGAAGATCAGTCTGTGCAACAGTGGATCTTGCAGGCTTGCTGCAGTCTCCCTTCCACTGCACATCACAGGTACACTGGTGTACCAGTGCCGCCTCAATGGGACAACCCTGCCACCTGGGGCTCCCCCAGGCAGGGGGATGCTTCTGCCATTACCAAGTCCTCCTGCTCACCCACTGGAGCTGCAACAAACATCATGAGCAGAGGGGAAAAGCAGTTCTCCAGTCTCGACTAAGAATAGAGATTTATGAGGAAAGATCAGTGACTCAGCCCAGAAGTTACTTAACTAAAAGCCTGCTGCTCCATGAGGAGTTGTGCCTCGAGTAGCTTTGTCCTCCAGAAAACAAAGTAATCTATGCAAACGTCTGGAGTAAGATTTAAGGTTGCAAATGTGAAAACCCATTAAATGCCTTTTGGAAGAGACACATGTCCTCGTATCTCAGGTCATAAACCAGATCTAACAACTGAAGGATAAGGCCAAGCTTCCTGAGAAAGTGAATCCCCCAAGGTCTCAGGTAACCACAGGGTCCCTAATGCTCTTCTGTAAAAACTCTGGTCCCTATCACTGTCACCAGCTGGGCCGTGGCCAGAATTTAATAAACTATCTTTGCAATTTTCCTAATAGTCACCTGCATTTACCAGAAGTCTAAAGAAAGCAAAAGGAAAGCATCCAGCCCCAGACACAGAGCTTCAGCCCCCAGCTCCAGCAGACGGGCAGCAGACTGTGCTGGGAGGGCCTGAACTGTCATGGGTATGCTTATTCCACCTTCTGCTCTTTCCACCAATTTTTAAGGCAAATAATACCCACAGGGTAGTGAGAATCCTGCCACTGAAGCAGGAGCATCACAGTGCCACAGCACCACCAAGTCTTTTCCAGATTTGACACTCCTCCATACTGTCAGATCTGCCACAAGAAAGAGAAAAAGCAATCCAAAACATGACGGTGGTCTTTGAAAACACTTCACTGTAACTTGTCATCTTGAAAACTGACAGGAAACTTGAGTTAGCCAGAGACATTTCCCTGGTGCAAGGCTGATCTTCAGCAGGTCAGGGTGTAGAACAATAATCCATATGGAGAGTGACTGAAAGGGAATCGGAACAGACTGCACAGCAGTCTGGCTGTTAGCCCTCTAGGAAATATGCCAAATGTGTTGGTTTGTTGGGTTTTTTTCATTTAGCTCTCTGCTATATAAAGTCAATCCCATCAGGAATACAGCCTGAGACATCCCAGCCCTGCGCTGCCAAGAACACTGCGCAGAGGCAGCTCTCAACTGGCCAAGGTTGCCATCAGACCTCGTGCAACCCTGGAGGGATGAGGACGGGCTATGATTTTTGAGGGATGGATGTAGGTGACTCAGAAATTACTCCCTTCCTGCATGGGATGGGACAACAGCAACACCTGGACAGGCAACAAATTTGGAAGTGTGCTCTTCTTGAAGCATTGTCTAGTTTCAGGGACAAGTGTGGTATCATGAGAACCAAACCCTAATGTCTGTAACATCTGAGCCATCCTAACCATGCGGAATGCTGCCCTGCATACTTGAGTCGAGAAAAATCAAAGTCTATGCTGAGATGGATGCACTTTTTACTTACCAAACTTTGTTATCATAGGAGAAAGAGGAATCAGAAGGAGGAGTCCTCCTCCCTTGCAGGAGTCCCAACCCTCTGGGGACCCCTCAAGCACTTGGACACCAGAATGGGGTGAGAGCAAGGGAGAGGCAAATACCAGGTTTGACTACAAAACTGAGGCTGCCCACCTCACAAGCCGAAGAATCTGCAGGGCACATTTTAAAGCTGCTCTACACATAACCTGGACATCTTGAGAGAAGTCAAGAGAGCTGACAGAAAGAGTTCAAGGAAATACTCATGTCTTCTCCGCTAACTCTTCCAGCATCTTTCTGGAAGAACTGGTTGGATCTGAACTTGCAAAAATCCTCAAATCTGTCAAACATTTTATCAAAGCAAGCTCTACTGGAAACCATACAAATCCCTCAGCGTGTTTCAAAAGGGAAGAGGAATCAATGTCAGAACTTTCACTTTTTTTTAAAATCTTTTCCCTTTCTAATCCCTTAGAAGGCAGTGTATATCTATAAAACCTTCTTAAATATCCCCTAAATTACTACTAAATAAGTTCAATATTATATTAGGTGAAGAATACGATAAAAGAAAAGCTATGTGTTTAGCTATTCTCCATTCTCCTCAAGGTGATCTGTTTGCACTGCTCTTCCATTCCTACTCCATTGCTTCTACCCATCAGAGGCTGCTGTCTTACACCAGTAATAGGAAGGTAATACAGGCAGGAGAAAAGGTTTCTCGTCTCACTTTCAGGAAGCTTTCTGATTTACTGTTTTAAGAAGAGTCCACAGACAAAATATAAGGGCTTCAGAAATGCATTTTATGGACTTTGAAACATGAGAACACATTGAAATGTGGTTCGGTCGATACGCTGGAGGGAAGGGATGCCATCCACAGAGACCTTGACATGCTTGAGAGATGGGCTGATGCCAACCTCATGACGTTCAACGAAGTGAAGTGCAAGGTCCTACACCTGGGTCGGAGCAATCCCGGGCACAGCTACAGGTTGGGCAGAGAAGAGATTCAGAGCAGCCCAAGGAGAAGGACTTGGGGGTGTTGGTTGATGAGAAAATGAACATGAGCCGGCTTCAGTGTGCACTCACAGCCCAGAAACCAACCGTATCCTGGGCTGCATCAAAAGGAGCGTGACCAGCAGGTCGAAGGAGGTGATCCTAAACCTCTACCCTGCTCTCGTGAGACCTCACTTGGAGTATTGGTGTCCTCAACATAAAAAGGACATGGAACTGTTGGAACATGTCCAGAAGAGGACCATAAGGACTATTAGGGGGCTTGAGCACCTCCCGTACGAAGACAGGCTGAGAAAGCTGGGGCTGTTCAGTCTAGAAAAGGGAAGGCTGCGTAGAGACCTCAGAGCAGCTTCCAGGGTCTGAAGGGAGCCTACAAGGATGCTAGAGAGGGACTCTTCATTAGGGGCTGTAGTGCATTTAATGCACTATAGGTAATAGGTAAAAGGCAATGCATTTAAACAGGGGAAGTTCAGGTTAGATATAAGGAAGTAGTTCTTTTCACTGTGATGGTGGTGAGGCACTGGCACAGGGTGCCCAAAGAACTGGTAAATGCTCCATCCCTAGCAGCATTTATGGCCAGGTCGGACAGAGCCTTGGGCAACATGGTCTAGTGTGCAGTATCCCTGCCCATGGCAGGGGGGTTGGAACTGTACGATCATAAGGTCCTTTCTAACCCAAACCATTCTATGATTCTATGAAGTATCAGCCTTCACCCCACACCAGCCAGAGCCTACCCCGGGGTTGGAGGAGGAAGAGAAGCACGCTGGGACTTGCCAATTGACACGGGGCTTTTCATCAGCAGTTTTTCTGACAGGGAGCCAAGACTCCACTTACTATAAATCAACAATAACTGCCTGACTCAAACAAGCATCTGTTATTTACTCTGGCTGTGCAAGCCAATCCATTTGGCCTTACACAGAATTGGTGTATAGCAAAGAGACATATCTGTAAATGATTTACTAGGGGAAAGACATGCCAAACTTATTATCTATTATTTGACAGTCCCATTATGGTAACAGGATGCTGTTGTACTCTATGGCACAGCCCTGATTCTTCCCTGAACCAGTGCTGACAAGTTCACTTCTGGCATGTGTGATGAAGGAGGGAAAAGAGACTCTGAAAACGCACAGGATAATGCTAGAATTAACTGAGAAGCAGTGTTCAGACACTACCAGGTGAGCACCCATCAGTGTGGGAACTCCACTCGACACAAGGATGACGTTAAGCACAGGAGGGGAACATCACAGTGAGATGAACCAGAGAGAGAAGCCTTCCACCCCCATTGCTGGCCACCAGCCAGGAACTGCACTACCTCCTCTCCCAGGGATGCCATCACCTCTAACAACAACTGTCAATGGTGTGTGCATGTGGTGCACTGAACAATTTATGTTAGCACCAAGGAAGAATGATGATTTGTATTGGTTCATTAGGAAACAAGTCAGATGGCACATTACATTACTGGACAGGTAGGCTCCCACAACAGAGACTCTCTCTCTGTTGCCAGGGAATCATAACTGTTAACTGCAGTTAGAAACCAGGTACTGCTGACCCACAGCACAAGGAAATAGTTGGGCCAGATACTTCTAGATGCTAATTACCAAGGAAAGACGGTGCAAAGAGCTTGCTGTTGAGAGGGAACATGTGGGTTCACACATATCTCTGGAGAGCCTGGCACTACAGAGCTGGACATGGAAAAGCTGCTTTCTTAAGAGACAGGGTGAAGCACCATGGATGCCAAGGACAAAGCTCTGTTCTTAATGGACAGATGGTTCTGCTGTTTTGTGAGTATCAAGAGAACTGACTCTCTAAAAGGGATACAGAAGAGGAAAAGCATCCCTAAATTTGGAGTTGTGCATCTCAGATCGTAGGAGGGCTGATGGGAACTTAGTGCACACTTGAGTGTGAAGAGGAGAAGCAGGAACTGACTGCTCCAGGGTCTTACTGGGTCATGAAGATAATCGGCCATTGAAAAGGACTGTGTTTTGGCAAACTGGTTTGCACACTTTTTGAAGGCAGCCGTAATGGGAAAGACAAACACGGGACAAAGAAATTTATCCTTGAATTTTCTCCTTTACTAGCTTAAGGGACCTTAGAAAGCCTCTGCACTTTGTTCCCACCACTCTTGCCTCAGTCCTTTTGACCTCACAGGCTGTCCAAGGCAAGGCTGCTGAACTTCTTTCAACCAGAGGAGAACATATCGCAATGCTGCAAATGCCTCCAGCATCTAGATGTTAATAACTTGGCTGCTGATAACAAGAACTCATTATTAGCAGCATTTGACTCTCCGGCTACTGTGGTAGAGAAAGACAACACCTGGAGGTGGAAGTGATTTTCCCTTCTCCCTCTGTATGCATTACCTTCAGCCGCCCGTTTGAAGAAGACTTTGCAGCTACCACAAGTGAGGGCTCCATAATGGCACCCAGATGCTTCATCTCCACAGATCAGGCAAGTCTTTTGAGGTGGAAAGTAATAGTCAATGGGCAAGACATGTTCATGGCCAGTCTCCAACCTGCAGCATAAAATAGAAAGAGAACAAAGGAAAGGGTCAGCAAATGGGATCAGGACAAGCCACAGGTAAGCACAGTGGATGGTGCTTGTGAGAATGATCATGGTAAAACCCAATGTTTCGGTGATGGGACAAGCCAAGCACCGATCAGAAAGGGGACAATCAACAGCTAAGCCAAACCTCACTTTGACCATGCAGAAGACCACTCTGGGGTGCCCCTCCTGACACTGCCCCTAGGTAGAATATGTGACAAAGTACAGACACAGTGACAGCACAGCCTAGAAAGAGCAGACAATTGGGACTGGCTGTTGCAGTGTTCATGTAATTTGGGCTCCAACAGTGACGCCAGTACATCAAAAAAGGTCTCTCAATACTCATTAAGCTACATGAACCCATTTCATTAAGGTCAATGTTACCACTTCACTAGAGGTTACTTTATCCATTTGATTCTTAATTTAAACAGATGTTCCCAAGCTGTCAAACCCCCTTAAGCTCTTCTTTTCTTCTTTGTCTTGCTCCTTTTCTACCTATTTCCTCTTCCTTTTTCAGATCTACCTGTTGCCATCACTCCTCTCCAAACATGTATTCCTCATGCTTGCCCCCATCCGCATGCCTAAACTCTTCCCCCTTGGCTGGTACTTGTCCCATTGCCTCCATCCTGATGCGCATTGCCACCCACTTGTTTGATCAGATCCATGGAGAAGCTGCTTTTCTGGAAAGCACAGCAGCAGGAGAGGTGTTTAGGATCACAAGTCAACACACACCCAGGCAGTCTGGGGAGCAACAGCATTTTAAGTTATTTGCTAAAGCTCCCTTTGTCTCAAAACACTAGATGAGGCAATTAGCTTCTAACAGTCAGTAGGTCACCGCAACTTGGTCAAAATTAGACCTGCTTTTTGTTTCTGGTATTGTTTGACTGCTTGCAGGTGAGCTCTTACTAATCAAATTAAAAGTGAATGTGTTAATGCCGGGACTTCTCAGAAGAAAAATCTTTATAGTCAGAAAAGCCCAAGCCTCATTTGGGCCAACAGTATGAATAAACCCAAAGTCCACCGAAACAGAAAACAGCCCCGGCAGAGATGGCAGCCAGAACCCACACCATGAAGTCTTGCAAGGGATCAAGCACCATCACAGACTCCAGGGCAAGGGAACACTGTCCTGATGTGAAGCCCTTCTGTCCATGGCCAGTGCCTCTCTACACCCTGCAGGCAGCTTTGTCCATGAGGGAATGACAAAGGCAAGGGGAGATCTCACACACCGAAAGAGCAGCAGCAGGGTCGAGGTTTAATTAGGAAAGATATGTGTTTTCTCTGTGCTAACCACCAGCTTTTCTACCGGGGTTTCCACCTCTGCAGTGAGTTACAATGCACAGCACCACCGCCCTGCACTTGCCAGGCTGAGATTGCAGTGGGCACTGGTCCCCTGCCTCTCCTATCCCTCTCCTACCTCTCCCCCATCTCGTTTCACTACTACCCAACCACAGGGAGATCCTGCAACGCGCACTCACATATGCAGCAGTCCTGAGGATATCGGGATTTAAAACAAATTAGAGTGAAATAGCTTTAAGAACAATCATTCTTAAGGAGAACTGTGGCAAGGACAATGATACACCAGTGTAAGGGCAGCTGCCTTGTTATCATCTTTTTCTCAGATACATTAATTACAGTAATAAGAGTAGCTTCTTTAGCCCAGACTATCTATACCCTTTTCTTCCTCCTCCTAAGAGACATAAACTTAACTGAGGAGAGAGAGGTTTTAAATGAGAAAACGTGTTTCCTCAAGAACAGATGAGGAACTACTATTCAACTGGTTTAAATCATGCCACAGGCTGAAAAATACTTCCCAGTGCAGACAAGACTTAAGGGACTGCTGCTGTTGTTACATGAACAACTAGCTGGGATGCTTAATCTCAACCAAGGACCAGTGCTGTTACCAGAGTACTGGTGCAGTTTGCCCCTCACGCAGGTCAGAACTCTTTGCTGAAGTATTTCTAAGCCCCTCACACCATGAGAGTAAAGTGCAAAATGGGACGATTATTGGTGAGATAAAGACCCAGGCTCACCACTCTCCTCCAATCTTGCTGTCAATTGTGTCCTTCAGGAATTCTGCTACCTTTGTTCTTCACAAGAGACCTATGTAGATCCTACCTACCTACCTAAATTGTAGGTTAATAGCTGGAACAGCAATTTTATCCTCTGTTCTTAAGGTAAGAAACATTTTGGGCGATTTCTCATCTTTTTAGCTGTATCAATCAGAATCAGTGACTCATCTGTAGATGCTTCTCAACTATCTTTCCTTGACAAATCTCAATTTTCCAAGGCTTCTCTTGAATTACTGATTAAATGGAGCAGATACAGTTGGCTGCAGCCTGCCTACCATAACTAAGTCCTGATGCAACTAACATCTCCATGTCTCACCCTCCATTTCCTCCCGGCGCAATCCCACTGCTCTGCAGTGCCCAGGGCACCCTGCTTCCCCCTGCACCATGGCTGCACGAGCACCCAGTGCAGCACAGCCTTGGCACTCAGCTCAAGGTGCTACCATAGAGCAAACACTATTATGAAATAAACAGCAGCAGATATAAAAGCTTTGAATCACAGAATGGTTTGGATTGGAAGAGATCTTAAAGCTCATCCAGTTCCAACCCTGTGTGACAGGCAGGGACACCTTGCACTAGCCCCATCCAACCTGGCCTTCAACACTGCCAGAGATGGGGCAGCCACAGCTTCTCTGGGCACCCTGTGCCAGCGCCTCAGCACCCTTATACTGAAGAACTTCCTAATACCTAACCTAAATTTCCCCTCTGTCAGTTTAAAGCCATTTCCCCCTGTCCTGTCCCTACATGCCCTTGTAAAAAGTCCCTCTCCAGATTTCTTCTTGGCCCCTTTAGGTACTTATCCAGTCCTTTAGGTATTTCTCCAGCAATCTTTTAGATCCCAGCAGAACCAAATCTTTCCTCTAATGACCCATTACCTTTTTTCTCCTCTCTATGCAATCAGAAATGCGAAAAAGTTATCTTTTTTTTCCATAGGCCTTCCATGCTGTACTTTCCCTATTCTTTGCACCATGTATTTCAGATAGGAAATGAGAAAAAGTGACTCTCACAGGAGTAGCTGTTATGATGACAGAAGCAGGACCCCCAGAAGACCTTGGTGTATTTTTGAGGCTTAATTATTCAAAGCTGCAAAATAGGTTAGCCATTAAGGTTTGGGTGGCTTTTTAAACAGCTTTTTGAACAGCTGTTTCTGCATGAGATGAGCTGTGCAAGTACAAGCACACCTTCATGCTCGTGCGTGTGTAGTGCACCTATATGCCTCTACCTACAGTGGGTGCTGGGCTGAGCATCCCAGAGGTGCTCAGGCTCTTCCACAAACCCACATCTGCTTGGCCACACTTGTCCCAGCTGTCCCTTTACATGTGGAAACCAGAGGGAGCTGGTGACCCCAGAGTTTAACCCTGGCTGGGAGACAGCCTCCTCCACTTATAACACTCCCACCATCGGGCTTGACACCAGGCAGCCCCAGCATCTCACTGCACTGGGAGACTGGTGCTTCAGCAGCCGGGGAGCGGCTCAGCTGTAGGCTGAGCTATGCAGCATCCTCACCATTTCCAGCCCTCTCCAGAACCTTTACTACCAGCAGCCGTTGTCCAGAGAGTGGAAGGATTTGCCCGGGGATGTCCTTGATTTTAAAAAGTTGCCAATTAACCTTCTTTTTTATTTTTTGAGGGAAAATTGTAAGAAAAAAAAACAACCCATAGAACGCGAGCAACTCAGAGTGAGCTGTGATAATGGTACCCTTTAATGATCTATTTTCCAGTTTCTAGGAGACCTTTCAAGGGTGCTAGCAAAACACATTGGTAGCAACACTGCAATGAGACAAAAAACATGGCTTACAGGGATCTTGGGGGCATGTGGAACGGCAGCTTTCTGGGCAGAGCCCAGACACCCACCTGCATGGGGGTCCCATGGGCAGGTCCCATGCAAGGGTCAGGGAGGACCTTGCAATAGATGGGCTGCTCAAAAGCTTTCCCCCCAGTGCAATTTTTCACTCTATCAGTACCTGCTGATCGCACCCACCCCACAAAGCCACCAGGAACACCACGACCAGCCAAAACGAAGCCTTGAGCACCTCATGGAATGCTCCAGAATGCATGACTGTAGTTTGCATACTGCATGGCAAGTGTCACGGTGCCTCAGAAACCCAAAGCAAAGAGATAGTGTGGCACGGGCAGACACAACTGCTGCAGCGGTGACGTAGGGCAGAGATTCCAGCCCTGGCACGCGGCTTGAAGGCCAAGGTCAGTTCTGCTCGTAGTGGAGCATGGTGGTTTTCAGGGAAGAGAAAAAAAAAACCTCAGTATCTCTCTTCTGGCTATAGAAAGAGATTTTATTGTCCTTTCAGAAGGGCTCTCTGAGGAAATGGAGAGTCCATGGAGCTCCTGCCACATGCAAATATTGCTGAAAGAATAGGAACTATGATTCTGCAGTTTTTTGGTCAATAATTACTTTCACTGTACAGTCCAGATTTCACAACACACCCAGAAAAACAAGGACAATCATGGATAAAAGAGAAGCCAACCACCTTTTATAACCCACAAAGAAAGTTTCCACCTTGACAATACAGAGCGCACCCTACCCAAGAGCAGCCAAGGCACAACTGCCCTCCCCTGACAACTTCCAATTTATAAGAGACCACGAAAAAGTATGTGTGCAGCTTTATCTGCATAGTTTCTGCAGTCTACACATACCTGACTGAATAAGATTAACTTGTTAATCAATTCACCATGTTAATATAATACAATACATATTCCTTATGCTGCTTTCCATCACTCTGGCATACCAGAACAAACACAATTAGCACCTCCTTCGCTCTTCAATTTGACTACATTTTTCATGTTAAAACTACGCAAAGAGTTGCACCAGACCGAACTGAAATGCTGCAGTACTGTTCTTGACAAGGCTGTGCCTTCACAGCTGGTACAACCTCCTTGTGGCATCAGCT